CAATAATGGGGAAAAAACTTGGTGCAAAGCTATGTATGTTGAGCAACAGACCAATAGAGCAATAATAGGAAAAATACTTGGTACAAGCTGTGTTGAGCAAGGCTCGAAGGCATGCGGTAGATGTTCCTTGACCGAACTTACCACCAAGCATCGCATGGTTTTTTTTTTTAGTGTTGCGGATTTGTGATGACCATTTGTTAGGCCACCTCGCAAAAAAGGCCAGCCACTCGTCCTTAATTGTGTGTTTGTAATATATATGTTGTCTTTCTAAAGTGGTTGGTAGTCTCGTCACTGTGTGTATGTAACTTATGATTTATGACATGATTTGGATGAAATATATATGTTGTCTCTATAATTTTCAGTTGTGTTCATCTTGCATAGGGAACCGATGCCATAATTTTTTTTGCAACTTTCATGTTCATTTTATTTTTATTTTATTCCACAAGCATCTTCATGCAACAGAACCATTCCATTCTTTTGTACCTAGCCTGTGGAATGTGTGGTATCTTGCACTTGTTAGTCGTGCAATCTGTCAAAGATGATTTTCCAAAAGCCTTTTGCATACAGTTCAACAAGTAGAATAAATTAATTTCTTTTCAGCACCAATTATGCCATGTTTTTTTATCATGTTATCCAGAAGGGCCGTAGCTTTTCAATTTGGTCTGGTGGCAATCTTTTCACTGTTCTGATTGAAGAAAAACAAAGGGAACTCTTCTGTTGTGGCTGGAGCATGTAATTACGGCAAAATATTCTGGTTGCTGGATGTAATAAATGCACTCATTTTGAACTTATTCCTACGGTGTGATAATCTTGGTAGGATTAATTTGCTTTTTATGTGACTCGGTGACATTTACGGAGTACTACATGTGAGTAGCGCCAGTCAGTGCACAAGTGTCATTCATCTCATTCACTAGTGGGAGTTTCATAAAATTTTATGAGCATTAAATATGATGATATGACACTGTATTTATGAAGAGAGATGATAACTATTTTATGAGAGTAGAGATAGTTTCATGGAAATAATTTTTTTTTGCACTGTTTTCAAAATATGAGAGCGTTAGAAAATAGACATGAAACTCACGCCGAGACTGACGTCCTGCTAGGCCTTGTAGACTTCATCACCAGGCGGTCCAGCCCTAGTGGTAGTGGGCATTTGCGGCTAGTGGACGCTCGCAAAGCATGATATTAGAGCAAGGTTAATAATACAGCCAGTTGCTGGCTATATGAATCCTTGCTTGGAACCGATATATTCTGATAGAGTAAGGTTAATAATACAGTCAGTGCCTTAGTTTTTTTAGATGAACAATTCTCGGTAGTGCTCTGTGTTCCCTCCAATAGTTAGCAGAAGCAATGGAGGTCTCCATCCGGCCATGATCACAGCTATTACTAGCTTGGAACCGAGAACTTTTGGGTGTTTCGTCGTAGTCCGCTTATACAATCGATCGAAGTGTTCTCCTTTTCGGCTGGATGTGGATGCTCACTAATCGAAGCCACCTTTTCTTTGCGCCTTATTGTTCGGTCAAAATCCAAAAGGGCTACAACATAGTGTAGCACTTAAGGAGAGAGATTATCCAGACAAGGAGCATCATTGTTGTTCCTGTCAGTTGGTCTTGCTTGCGCAAGCAAGTTCAGTGGATCATCATCATCACTGAACGGAAACACATGAATTTGATCAAATTCTGAAGAAACCAGACTGTTTCCGACTAAATTCTTTTGCTTCAGCAGGCCCAACCAATGGAATGCACCACTCCGTATGAAATTCTTCTTTGCGATGTCATCTACTCTTTCCTTTTTAAAACAAACGTAATTCTAGTTTGGGTCAAATCAAATTTTCTTAAATTTAACCGAGTTATAGAAAATAGTATCATCATTGTTGTCTCATAATAGTTTTACTATAGAAAAACATACTATTTTTCATGTATTTATTAGAGCACCTCCAAGAGTTTCCAAAATTCACCCCCGATCTGGATATTTTGGCAAGATTGAAAAAATTAATATCTAACAACTCCCTATGTGAAGTCTCAATCTTTTCGCACTTACCCAATGGTGCGGAAATATACGCGTATATGGATCTGCCAAATCTGAAGGTGGAAGGACGTGAACAAGAATAAAGAGTAGCATAGACTCCCAATGAAAATATACCAAAGAGAAAGAAAGTACAAAGAGGTTAGGGTGACTTGAAAATAGTTCGAAATTCTTGATGTAAAATTGTCTTCTATATTTTAGAAACAAGATTTTAAAAATTGTTGGAGGAAACCAACAAATGTGCTCCTACATTCTTTTAGTCGCTTAAAAAATTTATTGATTTACCGTTGTTTTTTTAAACTATTGGAGATGAACGGTTAAAGTTTGGATTGATTTAGAAACAAATTAGAATTGTATTTCCTTTTTTGAGGGGGAGCAAGCAAATATTCATGGCCGCACATATGTCACGCAAAAGGATAACGTATTAACATGGAGCCGCCAAAATCCGCTATTGATTCTGAGACAAAGGCATATGTGTACATGCCTGCATGGTCTACGGGCAGCATCTCTTTCACTTGTTAGCCCCAAAATGAATAATGCAATTATGCACCTACAATTGGAATTTGGAAACATCTTCTACTGAAAATTGGTAGCGGCGTTGCTACTTGCTACCTGTCTTGATGACCTTGGGGGGTTAAAAAAAATCAGCAACCTTGGGGGAGGGGGGCATGCCCCCCCCCTAGCTCCGCCACCGTTTGTCCCCTAGCTTCGCCACTTTCTGTTGCCCTCCTTTGCTCAATGTCAGCATAACAAAGCCACCACAAAAATAGTTGTGGCATACTCTCTACTGAGAGGTGACCTAGTTTTAGTCACCGCCACAAGTGGGGAACCAGCTTTGAATGTGTAATAGCAGCCTTTCCTTCAAGATTACCGGCAAGAAGTGCTAGAAGAGTTAGTGACATATCAACCATTTGCCCATTAGGATCCACCAAGAAGTTCATCATATGGATGACGCTTAGGGCGCCTGACCTGGGCACGACGTGACGGCCCAAGTACCACCCGATTCAAGAGGTTGGCCCACTAAGGCCGGCCCATCACCAACAGGAGGGAGCCGCAGCCCCATGTCCCTGCCCTGACCGTTGGAGGCTTGGTCCATTAGCGGCCATATAAAGAGCAAGCTACAGCCCGTGGCAGCCACACCCCACCTTGCCTACGCCAAACCCTAACTCCATTTTCCACTTCCTCATCTCATTCTCTCTCCTCGCTCATGGGCTCTTCGCGCCGACATGTCACCATCTCGATCTCTCTCTTCCTTGAAGGGACCATGACACCTAAGAGAGAATTGAATTAGACAACTTATAATCTACTTCTAAAACTACGGCCTCTAAAGTCCACCTAATCAAAACCGATGCAATACATGATAAAAAAAACATATGCAATACAATAAATTATCTAGATGTGCAACTAAGATTTTGCTAGATGTGTTGCTATCTCTACCACAAAAAAATATGCAACCTAAGTTCTAATCCTATCAACTAGCCTATCAAACTAAACTAATAAAGTAAATCACATAGCCTAAGTACATAATATAAATGTGGAAGCTTAGGGTGGTAGAGATGCAAGCTTCTGCTAACGACTCTAGTACTTTTACTAGGGTATCGAGAAGCTCCTGGCTTCCACTATTGATTCTGAGACAAAGGCATATGTACATGCCTGCATGATCTACGGGCAGCATCTCTTTCACTTGTTAGTCCCAAAACGAATAATGCAATTATGCGCGTGTTTAGTTGGACCCCAAATTCCAAAAAGTTGCTACAGTATCTGTCACATCGAATATTTGTGGCATATGCATGGAGCATTAAATGTAGACGAAAAAAAAACTAATTGCACAGTTTGGTGGAAATTACGAGACGAACGTTTTGAGTCTAATTAATCCATGTTTAAACATTATTTGCCAAATAAAAACGAACGTGCTACAGTAGCCCTAAAATCCAACTTTGGGGAACTAAACACGCGCTATACATCTAATATTTGGAAACATCTTCTACTGAAATTGGTAGTGGCGTTGCCACTTGCTACGTGTCCTGTGTTGAACAGATCGATGAGCCGAGGCTGAGGCTGAGCCACCGGTCCAACCATATCCCAACCCATTGCAGAATGGCATGGTTGCTTCATTTGTAGAGGTCAACAGCAAACTACTATCTATTCTATGTTCCAAATTATAAGTCGCTTTGACTTTTTTATTTTATCTATTTTGTTATATATTTAGACATGTTATTATATCTAGACACGTAGTAAAATAGATGTATCAAAAGAGTCAAAACGACTTATAATTTAGAACGGATGGAGTAAACTAGTTTTTTTTTTGAGTTAAATACACCAGCAGTCCTCGAACTTAAGCGTGTGCCATGTAGGTCCATGAACTTTGAAAATACATTTCTGGATCTCTAAACTTGTTAAGTAGTGCACCACATGTCCATACCAGCCATATGGACAATTTTAACTGCCGTAGCATGCTAGCATGGCATGAATTATTAATTTAAGCCCTCACATTTATTTTTCCCATAAAAAAATTACCCTTCCTTCTCTCTCATACTCTGCACGACTGCACGTCGTTGGATACGGCTCGGGTACAGCGTCTGCGCGTCGTTGGTCACGGTGGTCGTCAACGGACTCGCACGGAGGCCGGCAGCCACGCGCGCATCGAAAGTTCTTGACTTTTTTGTATTCTCGCTGTCTCGCGTCGTCGGACTTGACAGGGAACTGAAGAGTGGAAGTGGAGGAGTCTGCGCGAGATCACGGGATCCGTCCGCGCGTCGCGTGCGCGCTCGCCGACCTCCTCGTGCGCCTGGGCCGCGGGGCCTTGGCCCGGCGCCTGCTCCAGGAGGCGACAGCGGCGGCGGCGGAGGATGGCGACGCGACGATGACGCGATTCTGTGGAACAAGCGCGTCGCCATGCTCACCGAGGCGGAGGAGTGGGGCGACGCGATTTCCGCATTCGTGGAGATGCGGGCGCGCGGGGTGGCTGCCGACGGTTACGCGTGCGGCCGCACAGGGGTCGGGCCGTGCACGCGCACGCCGCCAAGGTGGCCCATGTCGCCGCGCACCCGCTCGTGCCGGGCTTCCTCGCCGGCATGTACGCCGAGAGCGCGGACGTGGGCGCGGCCAAGCGGGTGCTCGAGACGGAGGACGCGCCGCCCGTCAAGTGGAACGTCGTCGTCGCCTGCTGCGTGCGCCTCGGGCTCGTGGACGACGTTCCTTTCACGGGGTCGCTCCGCGCTAGGACGCGGTCCGTGGCAGGGATTCGAGTTGGGCTCACGGCGATCCACCGGCCAAGAAAAGAAGCGCGAGACACCGCGATCGCCGCGGGCACCTTGAGAAAGGAAGGAATTGTCGCGGCCATCCCATAGCGCGAGGACGCCCATCCTGATCGAGCCCAATCCCTGCATCGCGGCGACGGCGATCGCGTCGAGCACGACGCGGCCCGGAGCCCCTCCAACACGACGGCGCCAAGGTACGAATAGCTCCTCCTGCCGCCACCGGAGGGACAGCATTCTCTTCCACCGTCGCCAGAATAGGACCGTGGTGACCGTGGGGCACATGCCTAACACCCGGAAGCCGACGGCCGACGTGACGAACTCCCTTTGTAACGCCTCAACGGACGGGATGACGGTGTTGTCGGCGGCGAGCACCTCAGCGAAGCACATGGCGACGAGCATGCGAAACATGGCTCGTTTCAGGTCTTCAGGAGCCCCTTGACGACGGCTGACCCTGTCGTGGTCCATCTGCGCCGCGACGGCGGAGATGAGCCCCACCCCGGCGTGCTGGCGTACCGGTGCAGGCACGACGGGTGGAACGCTCGCCGGAGCACGCGCCAGAGCGGGCCGTACGTGCCGGAGATGACGCTGTACTGGCCGCTGGACGCCGAGCGGTATCCGACGACGTGCAAAGGATGAGAGAGAAGGAAGGGTAATTTTTTATGAGATAAATAAATGTGAGGGCTTAAATGAAAAATTCATGGCATAAAGCATGTCACGTCTGCTAAAATTGTCCACATAGCTAGTTATGGACCTGTGCACCATTTAACAAGTTTAGAAATCTAGAAATATATTTTTCAATGTTTATAGACCTGTGTGCCATACACTTAGCAGTTAGAGGGCCGCATTTAACTCTTTTTTTGTTTTTTTTTCGTGAAGCTGCACACGTACGTCGCGCCTGCAGTAGGTGCAGAAGAAGATGTGGAGCGCCAGCATTCTCTGCCCGCTGATCTTGTGGGAAGATATGGTGTGACCCTCTGACGTGACGGTGACGCTGCTCTTGGTCTCTTGCGTTGCAGAGACGTGAGGCCGATCGATACGCGGACAACCCAGAGGCCACCGTCCGTCGTTACCCGCCGAAACAACGGCTCGAACCTAATCCGCTCTCGCTCACGGCTCGCTGCCCGCCGAGCGCCACGCCGGCGTGGTAGTCAGACGGCGCCACGCACGCGACATGAAGAGCTCGTCAGCGGGGTCGCGTGCGTCCAGGGACGTCGACGTGGAGCTGCTCAAGGCGGTGGCGCAGGCGTGGCACGCGCAGTCGGGCAACCCGCGGCGTCGTCGCGGCCGTCGGGGCGGGCGCGAACGACCCCGCCGGCGGCGCTGGCGCGCGGGCCCGCGCTGGCGCGGCGCCGCACCGCCCGTCTCGGTTCAAGCTAGAGGCCATGGCGGCGGCGGCTGCGGCACCGGACGCTCGCCGTGCCCGGGCCCGCGGGAGGTCGTGGGACTTCGCGCAGTCGCTGTGGGACCCGTACGAGCTCGTCGCCGTGGCGCGGAGGCTCGAGTCCGGCCTCGTCATCGCCGACCACGCCGCCCCCGCGCCACAGGATGGGGGCGACGCGCGGGGAGCAGCGGAGAAGCGGGGCAGGGAGAGCGGCCGCAGCCTGAGGAACCTGTTCCTTCGCTCCACCTCGAAGAGGTTCGGGTTCGAGGAACCAAGCAGCTAGCGTGCTCTCCGTCGGTCCGTCTCTCTCAAGTCCCAAGTACTGTAAATGGCTAAATTTTATCATGAGATTTAGAAAAAAGAATCTTTCTAGTTCGCAATTGTAATTTTTCATTCACACGCGCAGCAATTTAGGTTTAAGGATTGTCTACACTTTAATTTTTGACAAATACTCAAACAGAGTCACTTGAGAACTCGCTTATCCGTCCATCGACGGGCTGGTGTGTCCGATCGAGAATCGACAGCCACAAATTCATCTTCCTCCCGCGTCACCTCTTCCAACTCTGGCGTCCACAGAATAGACGACGAGCTCTTTCCTGGTGGTCGCGCCCGCGCCCGACGGCCACCCCACCCCCTCTCTTTCCCAACTCCGGTGGGCGTAGAAGGGCCCGGCCGGGGGAGGCAGGCTTGCCAGCGGTGGGGAAGGAGGCCGGGAGGCTTAGGGGCCCTGGTGCGAGGTGGTGGGCGGCGGCGGGGGCAAGGACGAGGAGGAGGAGGTCACGGCCGCCGACGAGGCAGGCGGGGGAGAGGACACAAGGAGGATGAGGAGGAGGAGGCGGGGGCGAGAACGAGGAGTGGGCGCGAGGAAGAAGAGACGGAGGCTGAAGATGACTGAGAGAAAACGAATCTTCAGTCGACTGCGGTTTAATTTTTTCCTCCTCGCACACCTAAATCTCTAGCCCTTAGATAAAAACTGAGTGGCTCAAATAAACTTGACTCTTCTCATCTCTTCCCTGTCTTGTTCTTATTGACCCTGTTTTTTTTTGCGAAAATATTGACCCTCTCCACTTCATCTAGACAGCGCTATCAACTACATGCTTGCCATGGCGGAGTCCTCCACTACCCTTCCCTCCTCCCTCTCTTATCACCAATGCCAATCTATCGAAACTCGTATGTCACCACAGGCGGCTCCTATCCCTAAATCAGCTTTGTCTCCATCATTCTCATGTTATCTCATTCGAACGGTGGCATTCACATCACCACTTCACCACCCAACCGGTTACCCACCGTCGCTCGTGGTAGAAGGAACCCCCTCCGCCTCATCACATCGCTATCTTGACCGCCTCCACCACCCTAGAGCTCCTTCTAGGTTTGTTGGACAGGTATGCCTCCTCTCTATACTAAAAGCTCATTGGGATAGGAGAAAATGAGGCCCTGAACCCCTGGTGTATGTGTGAAAGGGTGAGACGGGGGTTTGGGAGAGGGAAGTTTTTTTATCCGGTGCGATATAGCATTTCTACAAATTTGATTTCATGTATTGTAGTTGAAACAAAGCATATAAGAACAAAGCATTTCTACAAATGAGGACAGTTGCTGATTGCAAAAGGACTATCACGGTGGAATCACTCTTGCTGTTGCACAGAACAAAGGCTACAATCACCCCCAACTTAGAAGCATGGATCAACTCCAATTTGTAATTCTCTTAATTTCTTTCTCTCCTTTTGTGTTCCCTGAAATCTCTCTCCGGTGTGAGTGAGAATGGGAGTGTTTTGCTCGATGTTCCCTGTTTTTCCCTGTAATCTTTGGCACTTTGCTTTCTCTTTTATTTTCAATAAATTTGCAGTAGGAGCCTCTGGCTCCTTCTGATTCCTCAAAAAAAAAAAAAAGAAACACATACCATTTATTTCAAAACAACCCCTACAACTTCCTGAACCCCCGCGTCCTCTCAAATTTATATTCCTTATAATGTTGTAGCTGAAGAAAAAGCTCATAAGAGAGAAACACATAACATTTCTTTCAAGACAAAACCCTTGACACCTTCGAGTAGCTAAGCGCCCCGCGGCTGACACCATCGGGTCGAGTAGCTTATGTGGTAAATATTCTGCAATTGTGGCTAAGCTCTCCGTCCCAAACTCTTTCCAAAACTGTGCAATTAGTTATTTTTTTACCTACATTTAATGCTCCTGCACTGTCGTTCCCTGTAAACTAAATAGGTGTGTCGTGCGTTAGATTCCGTTTCCAAAAATCCAAGCAGTCATATTCATGTACCGAGACTGGTTCGTCTATCACCTTCAGCAGCCAACAACCCACGGCGTGGTTTTGTGGCAACGGTCTAGGGCCGATGGCTTTGCATAGACATTGTGACAGGAAAGGCGAGCTATATCCATGTCCTCCGTGACCAAATCCAACTCGATCAGCCCATAGTGCATTAGAGAGCTTCGACTCTCGTAGACAACTGGTCTGGGCGCATGTCCCCTGTGCGATAGATTAGGCAGCGTAGGCTGAGGAGCCTATTCTTTTGCTCCACATGCATGATGTTCTAGGAACCAGGCAGTTAGTGTTCTCTTCTCTCTCAAATCCTAATGAACTATACTACTATATCACGAATGCTTAATCCTTTGAGTTCGAGATTTATATTCACGTACAGTGTTGTAGTTGAAGAAATGCACACGAGAAATAAGAATATTTCTTTCAAGAGAGACAGGCCCCTCGACTTTGCATCATCTTTTTTTCTCGATCACCAAAAGGTTTGCACGCCTTTGTATTAAGATAGAGGAAAAGTTCAATACAACACGTCTTAACGGCGTCCTATAGGAGATATATATGGACGCTTGGACCCTCTCTAGTGTACTGAAAGCTATGTTGTTACATTGGACACTGATCAACCCGAATTGCAGCGTCGGCTAGGAGGCTATGCCCGGGCTGCCGAGCGGCGGCGGCGCTGCTTGCGCGGACCCATGTCGCCATCCGGTGGGAACAACTCGCGTAGCGCCTGCATATCACCGGGGTCCCCGTTGAAGATTTCATCGTACGTCTTCAGGGCCGACGTCGAAGGAGTCGTCATCCTGCTGGTTAGTCCCAAGCGTTTTAAGACAAGGTGCTCACCTCGTTTGGACGTCGGGATATGTGGTATGCTCTGCGCCGCTATCCATCTGCTCCACTTGGGGAGCGCGGGCGGCGTACGTCTGCCGTGGGCCATGACATCATCTTTGAGGCAACAAAGTGGTAGGGATAGGGGTGGCACTCAGTTCTTAGTGTTCACAACATACGCCAATGACTCGTCTAGTCGACAATAACTGATAGCTAGCGCTGGCTGACTGGCTCCATGGCAATGATCGTAAGTCTATTTGTTTGCCCTCACATTGCTCTTGGAATCACGAACCCCTCGCTCCTCCCCGAGATATTGACTTGTTGGTTTCCTTTTTCCCTCGCCCACTCGCGGTCTCTATATCGATTGGCGATCGCCCGCTCCTCACCTATTCAGGCTGGTTCCACGCTCTTGATTTCCTGAAACGCACATGGTAAATTTTGAATAGGCTCATTTCACCTCACTCTTACAGTACGTTTTGGTTAGAGGTCGTTAAAAGGAGGGAACGAGAGTTTAGAAGTAGAGTTTTAGAAATCTTTTATCTGTTTTGTGGGAGTGAAAGTTTTGATCGAAAGGTGAATGAGAGTTTAAAGAGTGAACTTCCACTTGTCTCCCCTCCCTGGCTCGTCGACGCCTGTCCTGTCCCAGCGATGTCCATTTAATACAACTTCTCTCCTTAGCGAGGCACTCGACCTCGCGGCGGCTCCCCTACCTGTGTCATCAATTAGATCTCTCCGTACTGTCTCTAGTGTTGCTCACTTCTCCACGACCCACCTCAGTGCTCCTCCCTTCTCTCACGTGACTCTCCTACACCCCATAGCACTGTCTCCGATGCTCCTTGTAGGAGACCGTGACGCCTAAGAGGGGGGGTGAATTAGGCAACTTAAAATTCTACTTCTAAACTATGGCCACCTTTTCTAACCTTAGCAAAACCTATGCAAAAGATACACTATCTAAATGTGCAACCACGGTTTTGCTAGTGAGTTGCTATCTCTACCGCAAAAGGAGCAATGTAACCAATGTAAATGCGGAAGCTAAAGAGCAAGGTAGAGATATACAAACTCCCGTCGACGACTCCGGTATTTTTACCGAGGTATCGAGAAGCATGCAAGCTTTCCCTAGTCCTCGTTGGAGCCCCTCGCAAGGAATCCCTCGCAAGGGCCAAGCTCCCGGTCGGGTAACTCCGTGGATAGCCTCGGGCCTTCCCCACGTGCAAGTGGGTCTCCGACGTGCCTTCCGACAAGCCTCTCCTGGATGCTCCCTGCCGTCTTCACTATCAAGCTTCCGGCGGAAACGCCGCGGGCCTTGTTCCCTCCGGTACACGGTGGCGGCCACACCACAAATGCGGTTGGTGTGATCTCGCAAGACTACAAGCCCCACCGATGTACAACAATGGTGCACGCAAGCACCGGGTAGTAAGAGGTATGCAAACCTCACTAAACACTAGGCCTAAACCTAGAACAAGCGCATAAGCGATGGTCTAATCAACCTAAGCACTTCACAAAGCACCTACGCTAATCACCTAATAAATCACTAAGCACTATACAAGTGGAGATCACTAAAATAGTGTATCAATACCCTTGATATGTTTCCTCGGCTCCACTATCTTCAAATAGCCGATTGGAGGGTCTATTTATAAGCCCCACTGAGAAAGTAGCCGTTGGGATGAAATCCCGCTTTTCTGCTACTGACCGGACACTGATCACGTCCTGACCAGACGCGTCCGGTCGTCCCGACCGTTGGAGCCGCGATCAACTGATCGAACGCTGCCAACGTTCGGTCACTTGCCACCGAACGCGTCCGGTCGCAATTTCACCACTCTGGAACCTCTCTGTACTTGACCGGACTCTGCTGTGCTGCGTCCGGTCGATTTGCTCGTTCAGCGTTCGGTCGCTGCTGCTGCCGAGGCTCTTGATCGGGGCATCCGGTCACTGTGCTACCAGCGTCTGGTCCAGCGTCCGGTCACTTCTGTGAGCTCGTTTCTTTGCGATCTTGCGTCCGACTTGGTTCCTATCTTTGTGCTTGGACTTTGCTTGATATCTTGGTTCTTCCCTTGTGCTTCTAAGGTTTTGCTTATTGTGTTGATCATCGGATCATCACGTCACCTTCGTCCAAGCCACGTCTTGCACCCTATTGAACTACAAAACAAACACTTGCAAATTTATTAGTCCAATTTGGTTGTGTTGGTCATCAAA